TTTATTTAACTTAATTTTACCAGATAATTTTGCTTTGCATGGTGATATTTTGATAAACTACACGGAAACTGACCTTGTGCTGCTTTTAAATAACATGCCAATAACCAACATTTTACGTCGAATAAATTAGTTGATTGTTTTGATTACCTAATTTAAACCGGCCGACTATGTAATAAAGTTAAATAATGCATTTTACCCCATTTATGAAAATAAGTATTTTAGAAAGCTCGTAACAAGGAAAATAAAATAATATACAAAATATCGTATTTAAAAAAACATATAAGTTTTAGTCAATTTAAAAAAAGACAGATTCCAACGAAGAAATAGTTACGTCACTGCATTCTACGTGAAAAACTGTACGAGAGACCGTTTTCACCTTTTCGATAAGTTATGATACAAAGGGGATCGAAAAATGCCATAATTTCAGATTCGCCCTGTATTTTAGGAAGTAAGAGAGCTAGGACATATCTGTATGTAGCATCTTTAGTTTCATAAAAAAGTAACAGCGTAATGTGAAAACCGCATCTTTGTATCTCGACTCATAAACGAGAAACCCTGCAAAACACACGAAAATGGGACACCCTTTGCAGACGTACTGCCAAATCAAGAAATCAACTACGAATGAAATCCAAGATCGATTTATATATTTTAATATTTTTTTGTGTTCGTGATAATTCCTTTGCTACTTCGTCCAAAAACCGACAGTACGGGGAAGGAGCGTTTCGAGGAAGTAAACGGACGAACGAGCGTTTTGACGAAGGAACGAAGGAGCACACAGTCGCATAAAATCGACATTTCCCATAGTAAATATAAGATTTTTGGAAGAAGGGACGCGACGAAGGAAGGAAGTGAAGTAGCGGAGTGTGAGTAATGGGGCTTTAGCGACGTAGAGGATTAAAAATAATTTTATTATCTCTAATGCTTAGCTGAGAATGTTTACTCTATGCTACCGAATTATTAGTTATCGACATTGTCGACGTCGACGTCACTTAGTAGACGTCGATATCATAATTGAGACGTCAATAATTAAATTGTGTCGGTGCGACATTCTCGACATCGCCCTATTCTGAATTTTTTTACACTATCGAAATTTGATTCTGCTACCAAAATTGTCGACAATATAAAGTTAACTTTGACACTATCGAAATTTTTGTTAAATTATTATAAACTATCTAATTGAATTTACAATACGGAAATGAAATTTCATCTAATTCAAATAATGTTATAAGTAATTAATTTTATTCCTTACTGAATATTAATATAAGTTTATATCGTCTTGCTTACGCTAACCATAAATCGTCTTGCTGACGCTAGTCATAACTGCCTTGGGATACTATTACTAGAATTAAGATGTCATAATTTCCTCTACCTTTTATAGATAACAATAATGAAACTCAATAGAGATTTTGAGTAATAATATTAAATGAAAATGGACACTGATCTAACTACTCTATTAATTTATTTACATCATTAATGTCACACATAATAAATTTACAGGAGAACAGTTTCATCGATATCCCCTGCGACATTTTTTTTCTGTTCCAACCAATAAAGGTATTTTTTGTATTCCTTTTGGTAAATTGGATTGACTTTTAGGTGGAAGTAACGCTTGTGCTTCTTCGGTTTCTTTTAATATTTCCTCCATTTTAATGGAAACGTACTCGAACGTGTGCCGAATGCGTGCGAAATTCGTTTTTTATCAGAAAACTGAACTCGATTGACAACAACTGTCAATTTATAAAAAAGTCATTTAATACAATAGTACCTGGCCACAAACAAAGTTCCTACCAGCAGCGTTAATACAAATATATCGGAAGATTAATAAGTGCATTAACATTTGTGTCGTTTCAAAATGGCACAATATACCGTGTGGTGCATCGGAACGAGGGACATAGAAAATCGCATGTAAATTTTGAAAAGGTCAAATAATATTATCTCCCCAGATGATTTTATGCAAAAATTGTATTAGACTTTTTTGAAGAGGCGTTAAAGTTGTACTGTCATCTAGAATTTCGTTTTACTTAGAATATGCATCTAAAAGGTATTTGCAAAAATCTACCTTCAAATTACTAAAAATGTATAATACGGCCCAGAGAAAGTTTCAATATCAGCAAAAATATGATTTTATCATTGTCAAATTTGATGTCACATTTTTTTTTGTTTACAAGAATTTCTGTGGTTTGAAAAAGGTGGTTAATTTTTTTTCTGAATTGGAATGATCATCTACAAAAGAATTAGTTGAACTCAGAATACTATTCGCGGTGTATGACTTGTTTGCTGTTCATTACTCGATCACTCAACACAGGGAATTTATTATATATATAAACTATACTAATTAATTAAATGATACAATTATTTAAATTATTAAAGTGAATACAAGAGGCATCCAACTTTTCGTCTCCAAGAGAAATGCAAGTTGTAGGAGTCGGAATAAGTAAATTTCTTGTACAGGCAATGCTGGTAGCTTTTGCTTCTACGTGAACTGCTTTTAATTTCTTATTTAGCGTATCTCTCTGTCCCATGATTCTTTTTGCTATTTCGGTTTTCTGTTCAATTGAATTTTCAATATAACCTTTAACAACCGAGCTTGATCGCCAACCTCCATGTCGCTTTAAAACTGTTATGTCCGCTCCTGAATCTGCCAGCATTGTTACAGTGCTGCGCCGGCAACAATGACCAGCGTATTCAATGGCGTTGGAGAGTCCAAGAAATTCCGCTATCTTTTTGGCATACCTCCAATTGTATTGATTCCAACTGGCAGGGTACAGCATTGATTTTTTCGATACGTCAAGAAAAATCGCTGATGTGTCACATTGAGTGGTCGAAGTTTACATGTAAGAAATTGATACCATCTATTGATCCCTCAGTAATCGTAAACACTCTTGGAAAATGAGTTTTTGTATTAGGAATCACACTAATAAATGACTGACAATCTTTAATGGCATTTACGGCTAAAAACGTGATTTCTTCCCTCCTACATGCTCCAAACACTCCAACGATTAAGACAACTTTAGCTAACAGGAATTCTTTGTCATCGGCTTCTTTCATAAAGCGTTCTATTTCCAGTTTTGTAAATACTTTTGATGTAATCGCCTGATATCCGGAAGCTTTGCTTTTTAAAAATGCAATAAGGTGTGTGAATTTGCTAATATATACGTTTCTGTTCAGGTAAATCATAGTGCGGAGCATCGAATATTTACTCCACAGAGTTGACGGTTTTAAGGTAGTGGATAACTTCAGGAAATATGCTAGCAATACCTTTTCTGTGAAAATCTCAACATGTCTTTCTTTGACCCATGTTTCAAAGTTTTGTAGGTGGTCTCGTATAAGTTTTTCAACTTCTCGGGCACTAACGTGGATAGCGCAGTTTCAGCGGCTTATCCTATATCCCGTTATTTCCGATGCACCACACGGTATACTAAATTCAGTAAAAAATCGAAATTATCTGTGTACCACGGGAATTATAAAGTGTTAATAACCTCGAGCAATTATTGCCCGACAGAAACTTTACCCTCGGCAATTAACATCCTTATAATTCCGTTGATATAAATAAATAGCCTACATTCCCTCCCTTATTCGATTTATTTATTTAATATTTAAATTGTATACAAACATCGATCTCTCTATACGCAAACAACAGAAAATGAATTATTTTGCACCAATTCCCCAAGCATTATTGACGTTTTAATCTCATACAGGTAGCGTTTTCATAGTAAAAAAATATCCTCCGAGGCTGTCAGAAACGAGAATGCCATATTCGCGCTCTAGAAAAACGGATGTGAAGAGCAGTGAGAGGGGGAGGGGGTCGATTTGGAAACCCACTTAAAGGATTTCGAATGATTGATGATGATGGCGAGAGGAACAAGGCAAAAACGTCGGGCATACACGGAATAGGACTTTGAAGAACAGCAGCTGTCGATTTCAATATCCTGTATCAATTTTTTTTGTCAGCCGTTATAGTATAATAGAAGTGTAAAATGGGAGTGTGAACTAAAGTTGGTTATAATTGAAATTTTTACATGAATTACATTGGACATTAAGCTGTCAAGCATTTCCTGTTTTAACAACTGTAGTGTTTGAATATTAGTTAATTTTTATACAAGACGATAAAATAGTATTTTATCGTCTGATTTATTATTCTCCATAACGAGTTACGTTTTAAAAAATATTCAGAAATTATTTCAAGGAATTTATTACGAGTAGCAAAAATATTGTGCTGGGTTGACGTTGGTGTCTATGTAATTTGACAAATAAATAAAGCTGTCTCTTTAGTTGTCAGTTTTGAGTCAATATTTTTTAATTCTCTTTCGTGTCGATTGCTGATTGAATTGGAGCCAGAAATAGCTCAAAAATAAATAAGTAAATTACCAACAGATATTCAGGCTGAGGCGACAAACGCCATATCCAAACTACTTCCATTTAAATCCCGAATAACTTAGGAAAAGGAATACAAAAATTTTCAAAAATGGAAGCAGTTAAAAAACGTGCGAGAAGAAATAAAGTTTTAAACCTATCCTCGCTGTTAAAGTATCATTTAATCTACCCTTGCGGTTAAAGTACTATTTTATCTACTATTTTTCATAGATATAAGGCAATTTTAACAGTTGCTATGGAAAAAAAGTATAAATTTGTGCCAACTTTTTAGTGTGAGTTGTTTGAGTTCTCGATAATATTGGTATACGATATATTTGTTATTAATGAAGCGAGAAGGATGTGGTTTGCACAAACCTGGTCCCACTTTTTTGTCAAACGGGAGTTGCTGTAAACAAACTATTCATAGCCTTTCTCATTTCTGAACTACAGTCTTTTTGAAAAGTTGAAAAAAAGTTTAAACCATTGTATCCGTTTTAAATAAAATTGTTTTTTTTTTCAGGTAAGAGTAGACAACACATTTTGGCTAGCAGCGAAGTACAGGTAACGATATTCACCATTTTTCAAATTGAATTTCTCAGATTTAACATATTCATGATATTAAAATTTTCGAAAATAAAACAACACACTAAATAAAAATATGTTTATTGTCATTTTCAATCAAATGTCAATGGATTTTTAATCCATCTAGAAAATAATTTAAAAGTAACAATTTTGTTATTATTTTACATTTAAAATAACCACAATACACCGTCAATAAATCAGAATTATGTAAACACATATAGCACAAAGTTTATTCGTCACTTTGATCAGAGTCATCACAATTTCCAAAAACTTCTTCTTCACCTTGAACTTGTTCAGATAAAGCTTTAATATTTTCGAAAAAAGTCCGTTTATTACCTAAATAATGAGCTTCCTGTAGGTCACTCAAATTAAAACTAGGAGGAGGTGGTGGAGGAGGAGGAGGTAATTTTGGAACACTAGCTATCGAACAAGGTGTTGTAACTGGAGAAACAGTAGTTTTACTTTCTAATACAGATTCCTCAGAAATCTTTGTAGGTTCTTTAACATTAAAAACATCCAGATTAAACTTAGGTGGTGACTTTTCTTTAACAGGCTCTTCCGTATTTTTATCATCATCTTCATCCTCCATTCCTCTTTTACTTCTTGCAGCAATAAACCGCTCATGCTTTTTCAACGACTGTCTTAACTCCTTTAACATTAAACTTAAATACACTCCACTATCATCTTTATAAGATCGTTGTTCCTCAACACGTCTTTGCTCGTCTTGTGGTATATATAATTCAAAGTTTTCTTCAATAGGTTCAACCTCTTCGTCAAAATGAACCTCCTCAGTTTTAACACTAGATTTTCTATCTATACTTTTACTTGGTATATTTTGTACGGTTGTTTGATTTTTATTACTATCTGAAAGTATACCGTACAGTCTACAAAGCACATCTAGAGATTCGTAAGTAGCCAAAGCATGATCTCGTAAACCCTTTAAAGAAATCTCCATTCTTTTAGGATCTTCCTCGGTCTCGATTTTTTCCAGAACAGCTCGTGACCTTTCCATTATCACAGATAAGTTGTTCACAGTTTCCGTTAGAGTATGATGAAGCGTACCAGTGACATGTCTACGAAAAATACCTTTATTTTTCGTTTCTATTTCTGCCTTCTTTGATGCTGAGTACCGGAGATCGTTGAATTGTTTTCGACAAGCTTCGTGAAGGTTTTCGATAACGTTATTAAGGTTTGGTATGGTTTTATCGATGAGATCTTCTAATGATTTGCAGTTAGGTTCTTGGAGATGGTGGTGTAATGAAAGACCGAGGTAATTTAGATATTTCGAAGATAGGAACGTGTGTAAGTCGTGTATTGATTTTGTAACAGCTAGACAGTCTGAAATAGTGTAATTTTTTATTTCTAGGACTGTGTTAATGTTAATTTCGTTCAGAGATTTATAATCAAGACGTAGGTCGTCATTTATTGTACTTAGAGCTTCTAATTCTTGTAACATCAACTCAAATAATTCACTGTTTCTTTTGATGAAGGTTTTAATGTAGTCCTCGATGTTTTTCTCGTAGATTAACAAACTGTCGCCTTCGTTCTTCGAGATTAACTCCTTCCTGAGCCCCATATATCGAATTATGGAGCCGTGCAGCTTTCGCACCTTGGTTAATCCTTTTATCAATCTCCCCACACCTTCTTGTCGCCTCCCAATTTTCAATCGGGACCTCCGCTCCGAGCACACTAACGCCAGCGTCAGGGCTGCGGCCGGTGCCATCACTAGGGGCGATTTCCACCGTTTGGCCATTAGCAGGGAGCCTAGGGCGAGCAGGGCGCCCCCAATTAACCCTAATGGAACTCCGGACGGTTTAATTGGATAGATTTTAAATACGCTGCTCTTTAAAAGCACTTCGTAGTCTTCGTCGAGGAGCAGGCCGGATTCCAGAATGGTTTTGACGTGTCGGCTAACCAGCGGACCGTAGTAGTGGCGGCAGGAGGTATCGGTGGATTTCAGGCGGTCGATCATGACGTGGAAAGTCTGGAACAAAGAAAGGGCCGATTGGTTAATCGTGTAATTGAATTTAAGGAGAGAATCTTTGATGGGATAGGGTTATATGTGATTGTTATTTAAATTTCATTATGTTGTTACAAGAACGGCACTTAAATTACAAAATTAGGAAAGTGTAAGATATATTCTGAGATCTTATAAACTTCGTGGATAAAGCTATGCCATATATATATTACACAGGACTTTGTTTACGGGACTTTCACATGCATTTTTCTTTTTATTTCTTTCTAGAACAATATTATCTCTCTGAATACGCTACTGAGCATACGCAGAACGATATTAGACGGGAACTTGGAGCGTTTTTTCACTGCGTTGACAACAATTACTAAAAATATAGACCATTAAAATTTTTCAAGATATGAATGATTGATTTGGATTTCCGACGATATTTTAGATTTGTGTTCTTTTTGAGAAAGAAGTTTGTTTTTGTAGTTTGATAAAGTTAGTGGATAAATTAAAGGATAAACAGACATGACTAATAAAAGTTACCTAATATGTGAACACTCCAAAAAATCCTATATGGGTATTTCGCCACTGCATTTTTTTGTTGGTTAGGCAAATTTGTATGCCCATATAGGATGTTTTGGAGAGATGAATCCGCCACATAGGTATAGATATTTTCTAATATGTGAAGCAATCCGCAATAGGAAAAATATTATCCTTAAAAGAACTCCACAACACTAAAAGTATGAAAACCTCTGAAGTGTGTTCCATATTTTCAAAAAAAAACAAGATATGTGTTATTTAAAATCGTTTGAAATGTATATTTATGTTAGGTAGCTTAATCACTTTAAACATTTATTAGGCAATTTACCTTTGATTTTTTTTCTTTAAATAATTAATATGCTAATAAATATTATCCAATAAATAATTAATGTTCGAATATTATTTTCTCTAATTAATATATTTATATGTTCTATTCTGACATAAAAATGACCATAAGAACCATATTCAATCGTACACAACAATAATCACCAAAGCCACCTCGTCATTATGAAGAATAACATTAAAAAGTAACGATAATTGAAAAAAAAAATACAAAATGTTTATGGCAAGTTCATTTTGCTCTTAAAAATTAACCAAGGCATGCGTTGACATAAGTCAAAAAACAAAATATTCAGGAGACACGGTTCTGACCGAAAGATAATGTTTTAGGAAAATTTGCTCACGATATTATTGCACAGGGTGTTTTAAAGATAGAGTAAAAAACAACTCTTCGATTAACCCTGTATAATACGTCAAATACTAAAGTTTATAATATATTAAGTTTACGAATTAAAGTTGATATATATTTATAAACAAAATATGTTATCGTGGGGACTATAATAAAAAAGAAGAATGAAATTATTGGGCAACCCACAGTAAGATTAGCCATGAAACATGGCTAAAATACGACTACCCGTAGACACTTAGTGTTTCTGCCTTCCGGCTTCATCAGTACGGGAGGAATCAGCAACGATGAACTAGTGATCCTGAAAAAAGAAAAAGGGGAAGCAAACGAGGCACTAGGCACCATTTGCAACCTGGTTAAGCAGTAGCTCACAATTCGCAAGCGTTATTACCAAAAACCCGCTGCGGAGGTACTTCAACATACCTCGCCGCTATCACCTTGGCCCAGAGAAAACAATAAACAAAAGATGTTATCGTGGGGACTATAATAAAAAAAAAGAATGAAATTATTGGGCAACCCACAGTTTAGTTAGTTAGTTGGGCAACCCGCTAACTTTTTTGCATCTGAGTGTATATCCTATTAATTTTATTTTAGATAGTAAATAGATACATTTTAATCAGACTAGAATTACTAATCTATTATAGATATAGATACACGGTTAGTGTGGGTTTAAATGTATTTTTAAATGCATCGTCCGTCGTATGAGCTGTAGTTTTTGAAATAAACCAATAAAATTCCATAAAATGGATTCATTCAATGACGAATGGATGTAAACCCACACTTAGGTTCAAATGTCGTATATAACATCGACAAAAAATGCTACTTATTGCAATTCACATCATACTTTACGAGATAACACTAGCAAACGTTGTTTATTGCGAAAAGTTAACAGATACTGTTGATTAGTCTATTTTAGTACTTGTCCTGATGGCCAATAAAGCCGTTTTATGTGTTCTATCATTTTAATGCGAATATCACTGGACTATTAAAACATCGAAACACTTTAACTAGACTTTTCATCGAAATTAGTTCAAAATTATATTTCAGATTTCTGGGAAAAAGTTTTTTTCGTGTATTTTTTGGATTTGGCGTTTTCCTATAAAGTTATTTGCTTGTATAGATTGAACAAAAATAACAATATTATCTACTCCTTCAAAAATGGTTCACACTATAATGTTTACTTTTGGTGTGTGAATGCAATGGGGGTATGTTATAGACAGAGTATTCAACTAGGGGTAGCTACTTCGCTTGCAATATTTAACTATATTTTTTACCCCTCGACCAATTTTGAAAAAAAATCTAGCGGAGAACAATATATTTAGAAACTTTTTTATATCCACATATTTTTTCTACACTTAGCAAGAAAAAAATAGAATTTATTATATTATAATTCATTAATGTAATTCATTATAGTGATATGCACGATATTACATAATTAAGGTATATATTTTAAGTTTGCTTCACCCTGTATAAAGGTAAATTTGTAGGGAAACTTATTAAAGGTTATTTAAAAACTTTATTTTTCACATAGCAAATATCTTTCGAAGTTATTACTCTTCAAACCAGTTAAAAATATGTAGGTGGCGCTCTCTACAAGTAGGAGTCTCATTGACATCAAAATCAAATTTCTCATTTCAAAAAATTCCCAGACACCAATTTTCATCCAAATATTGACGTTATTTCAGAAATTATTTGGAATAAATCGAAATAAAAATGAAACTTCTACACCCTTGTATCTCCAAAACTAAGCATTTTAGGACATACATTTATACGAACTTTTTACTAATTTTTATATGCAGAATATACTGTCGAAGTTTCCGCAATACAGTTCGGACCACCCTGTATAATCAAGGCAAGTTGTTTATACTTGTTTGATGTTATACATTTAAATAATAAGTTAAAATATATTATTAATATCGCTTATAAGTAGTTTCCACCAGACATTTTGATTATTTTAAAGTATATTTTTATTTAAACAAAAATAAATATCTCAATCCATACTTTAAATCGTATATTGGTTAATAATAACTTATTACAAACGTTATACTTAGTCCCATTTTAAAGTGTTTCTAGAAATTCAAATTTAAGCTTTTGAAAAATAAATACAAAAATAAAATAATACATACCTGTCTCTCTGTTTATAACACCACCGGGCACATTGAGGTTATAATTCTATTTCAATCAAAACAATATAGTTTTTTCCGATTTTCAATCGTAGTAATGATTACCTTGCACAGAAAATAGTCTCTACCAATCAAAGAATGTTTTCGAACAGAAAATGTAACAATTTCACGAGAAAATACGAAAAATAAACCTATTTTTGTTGTATCGATTGAAGCAGCAAACCGGCCACGAACTCGACGACGTCGAACAGCTGTCATCCAACGTTGCCGGACTTACATTTTCAATTAAAATAATGTCTGTTTTTAGGCTCTCACTTTTAATTTTTATTTTAGTATAATTTTATTATTTAGTTATTTTCTTATTAAAAAAATATATCAGTTAGAAAAGTAATGATTTTGAAATTGTAAATAAGATTTTTTAAGAAGTTAGTTTAACTTTTTACAATAATTTAGGTACAGTAAAAAATGCATTGGGTTTAGCAGATTTTGGAAATATTTTTAAAAATACTGAAGTGTTTTTTAATTTTGATAAGATATCAATAACTTTCAATAATATACCGAGTGCGTCTCAAAAGTGATAATATAACATGTCATTCTATTCAGAATGTCATTTTCTATCAAATAAAGTAAAAAAATACAGAGGATATACCATTTAAAAATCAAAAGATACAGGATGTTAAAACTTAAAAAATATAGAAAGAATAGTTCTTATTGTAATTATCTGAATTGGCATGCATTTTTATAATTTGTTAATTTGAAATAGTCATATAAAAATAAAAATAAAATCGCGAATACATATTCATTATTACCCAACAAATATTCGAAATTATTCGGAATATTTAAACCCTTAAGGTAGGGTTGTCAACTTTCAAAATAAAAAATAGAGGACGAGAGGGTAAAAAAGAGGCACATGTGAAACATTTTTTGAAACCTCGCCCAAATGTCTAGAATTTACCAAAAAGTTATGCCAATGGTATGCGATTGATGGTCTTTCTTACTTTCTTAACAATATTTATATTCAAAACTTGTTAAAATAAAACAAACTATTTTCAACAAACTTTTTTTAAACATGAGCCAACAATAAGTAAACATAAAATAGTTAAACATGTTTATCGCTTCCACAAATATTTCTTTTACATAAATATTTCTTAAACCTCTTTTCTGCACAAACGAGTGGGAGTAGCGAAAAACACAGATTAACAATTTTTTACAGCATTGTGGCGATACACAAACATTTTTTAAATTTTGAGTTTGGTATATAAAAGAGGACCTTTTCAATACGCGAGAGAAAAGAGGACAGTGAGATCAAAAAGAGGACTGTCCTCTGGAATGGAGGACGGTTGGCAACCCTACCTTAAGGTGGCAGTTTGATCAGCATCGAATTGCGCATTTTTAACGAACTTCGTATCTCTTCTAGCTTTCCAGATTCCAAACATAAGGTTCGAATTTAGGACACCCTGTACTTTTACAGTTAGATTAAATTCAAATTTAGCCACTATATATACTTATAGTACTTTTTTTATATCGTGCTAATTTATAGGATCTACAAAAAAATATCTATTGTGAAAATTCTTAGATATATCAATAATTTTATACATTTGGCAACGTCTACAGCAGGAGCGTCGCCGGCGCGGCGCGGCAGTCTGTATTTAAATTGACCGTCGTAGTCCTCGCTTGTTGTGAAGGTCTTGATTGGATTTTTTTTCTTTTGAATTATTTACCGTAATCTGCGCTGTAATCCCTTAGCGGAAAATTGGAAAATACTCAATATGGAAGAACATTTTCTAAGAAATTAAATTATTTACCAAATTATGTTTTATTCATCGGATTTTTTATTAACTTTATTATTTTTTATTAACTTTCATTAATACGAGTAGAAGTATATAATTCATATATTTTCCCGGCCAAAATTGAGCTTTTTTCACTTATTCCGACTTGAAAGATTTTTTGAGCGTGGATCGATGCAGTTTGATGATTCGTTAAATTTTTAGTATACACAGTTTGTCAAAAAAGCATATACAGGGTGGCGCCTCTCATACGCTGCGGAGGCTCCAAGGAGAACGATAGTTTGTATTGAAATGAAATTTTCTGAGCATATGTAGGTTAATTCAGAGCACTTTTTAAAAATATAGAGAGTTCTACAGGGTGTCCCCAAAAAAAGTTACATATCAAAGTTGTGTTTTTTGTAATGGAACACCCTATATATTAATTGATTTTCGGATTCTGGAAGAAAAATAAAGGTGAGTTTTATAAGAGAAGTATATGACGAAAATGTAAAGTTTTTGACATATTTAACATTTTCTAGAAAAAAAGAACAATTTTTAAATTACAATAAAAGCTACCTAAATTGGAATTACAACAAAGCAGACTTCTGAATAACTTGATTAAATTAAAGTTAGAAAATAAAAAAAAACGAATACGTAGTCAGCTTTTTAACATTTTTCGTGCTTCGAGAATATTTTTTTGTTCCTGTCCAAACCCGACAAAAAACTAAACTTTCTTTTCAAAAATACGACGTCATAATATATAATTCATTACCCCGGAGCTGGACTAATATACTTGTTTTCCCCTAAGGACATTATCACTTAACATTTTATCTTAATTTATCACGGAGTCGTGCAAAAAATTCGCCGTTATGAATGCTGAAGAGAAAGGAGGAAAAAAGTGCGCTCAGCTGATTGATGAATGGCCCAAACTGGAAATAATTACCATGTTTCTTTCCAGTTAGAGTCAGCGAGAAAAATCTAACAGAATAATAAGCTGAAAAAGTTCGTTCGTATTATGGTAAATAATATTGTTTTTAGCATGGTGTTATTTTTTAGTTTTGTATTACGAGTTTTTGATTTAAATGAATTGTGTTGTGGTACTTTAAGCTTGAAAATGTTTACTAGCTGACCTTGCAGTCGAACATTGTTCTTTTTGAAACCTTTTTTAGTGCGAAGTGTACAAGATAGCTTAATAGCCGTAAAAAACTCATCGCAGCTTTATTAGAATATTATGAAAGGGAAAGCGGTAGTAATGGCCCTTTATTTTCTTAAGTGCTGTTAAGGAGGCGAGTTTTGTTTGTGTAAATAATAACTGATACAGGGTTCACCACATACGACACGGAGTATTGTAGCTAAAACCAACTAAATAAAAAATATTATAGTTGTATTTTTATTAAATGGAACACCCTATATATTATTCTATTTTAATATTTTAGATTCTACGATTGAAATAAAGGTAAATTTGATTAGGTTTATCACACTTAAACCTTACCGTTTTTGAAATATTTTCAATTTTGTGAAATTGCAGTAAAAAATTTAAGCTTCATTTCTCCATGGGTATCAAAGTTTTTAATATTAAATATTTACTGAAAATTATTTATTGATCAGATATTGTGTTGCATTAATAAATAATGTAATACCTTATACAGAGTGTCCAAAAATTTATATTAAATAATTACTAGCTTTAAACGGCAATAACTTGTTTAATTTAAATTTTAAATGGAATACCCTGTATATTGTACGTATATCAGATGCATAATTTAATTGTCTATCAAATTGTATTATACCATTTTTCACCTATCTCTACTAGTTTTCGTAGAACAAGCATTTTCTTATAATTTATACCCCATTTATCACTATACTCATGGAATATTGACATTTTAGATTTTTTAAAGCAACATATGTACAGGTACAAAATATACAGGTGCTAAAAATAATAATATTGCAAGATCATTTGTTTACAAAAAGAAAACCTATTTAAATCTTTGTAAAAGAGTATACAAATTAAGTATACCACCATTATTTCTGCCCAAAAATTAGTTAATTACATACTTAATTGTTTTAAATAATAAATGATTCTAAATAAATGTAGATTTGACTAAGAAATAAATATAATAATAAATTATGAAAATGAACGTCTCTGTAGTTATAAATAAGCATTCGTCGAAGAATGAAATAAAATTTATAAGGTGTTACTTTTTACCACATTGTCTAATACACATACAAAATTCGGTTTTTTAGTATTTGAAGCAATTATTATTAATCAACGTAAACAGTCAATTAATGTAATTTCAATACTGGAATCACTGGAATACTGGATGGGAAAAAATATTTAAACAGTTTTTTTAAATTTGTTATATCTTTAAAAATAATGTAAAATGTCACTATTCCATGGGCATAGTGATAAATGAGGTTTATGTTATAAGAGAATGCTTTTTCTACGAAAACTTGAAGAGATAGATAAAAAATAGCTCTTCAATTTATTGCCTTTAAATCTAGTAATTATTTAATATAAATTTTTTGACACTCTGTATAAGATAGTATTTTGTTTATTATTGCAACACAATAACTGATCAATAAATAGACTTCAGTAAATATTTAGTATTAAAAACTTTGATACCCTTGGAGAAATGAAGCCTTAAAATTTTTACTGCAATTTCATAAAATTGAAAATATTTCAAAAACAGTAAGTCGGATATACTTAATCAAATTTACCTTTATTTCAATCATAGAATCTAAAAATAGAATAATATACAGGGTGTTCCATTTAAAAAAAAATACAACTATAATATTTTTCACTTATTTGGGCACTATGTGTCTTGTAAAAATATTTTTAAATTGTAGCTCTAATAGTCCTTCAACGAACCCAAAACTTACAATCTGCTCTATACACCCTGTATAGAGCAGCCCTTTTATTTGGCACGTAGCCTATCTAAATTCCGGCGAGCGGGAAATGAGCTCCGGTCGCCCGGAACGTTATTTATTAGTTTTTCTTATGAAAATCAGGAAAATCGGAAGCTCAAAGGTCGGAGCGATGCGGCAGAGCCAGACTCCAATTTTTAGTTGTGTTGTTGCCGGAGAAAGAGGCTTTAAAGTTGAAAAGCGATGAAGAGCGAGACCGTGTATTTTAATTTTGTAGCTCTAAGCTGTCTGTTGTGTGGAAAGAAGTTTTTGACGAAAATCCAATCAATGTTTGAGTGTTTGGTAGGAACTGGTTCTTTTTGTAGGAACACAGAGGACTTCCACTTTTATACTACATGGACTCCAAGAAAATAACCACTTTGTATTGCAATGAATATTTTGGAGTGTATTTATTAGTCCAATTTTAAAATTATTTATCACTGCAGAGTATTACTACAGGATTCGCAACCAAAATTGTTATACCAAAGTTGTGTATTTTTTTAAAATCTTGTATCTAATATACAGGGTGGTCCGAAGTGTATTCTGGAAACTTTGGCAGCATATTCTGCAGACAAAAATA